TATTATTACTCATCTTTGACCCTAGATTACAACTCTTAGATTTTCAGGATTAGATTTTTAATTTAGATTCATTTTTAGTGATTTGAATCATGTTTATGCATGTTTAAGGAAACTGATCGTTTTATCTTTTTAAACCCAAAATAAAATTTCAAGAAACATGGATATTTGAAAAAGTTTCATAACCATCAATTATTTGAATATAGTCTCTTCTATTTAATTTCATTTAGTTAATGATTATTGATTACTTGAGGTAATGTTGACGATAATTACAGTTGAAATAGACAAATTAATACCTTTTTGGGTTTTTTAATTTTTTTTACTAGTCCTTTATTTTATTTTATTTTTTTGATAAGTAAGAATTATTTTATTTATTATTAGCCCATTTTGGATACGTTTTTTTAGGATAAATACACTTGAACCTTGAAGAATTTTATAATGCCTTTAGTCATTTATAACAATTGTGTGTGTGTATACATATGCATATAAATATATGGACAATACTTACCTAATCACCAGTGAGGAGGGACTCTCTCTCTCCTGACCACATAAGCAGTGCAACCTTCTACTCCGACACATCATCTTTAGTTGTCAATAAAAGAATAAAAATAAATGGGAATAAAGTTGACCCATTTTTTCCTGATTATGGATGTGATATGTACTTTATATATATAACTAACTAAAGATGATGTGCCAGTGAAGGATTAGACCACATCAGTGGCCAGGAGAGAGTACCTCCTCACTGGTGAGAAGGTAAGTACTATCCTAAATATACACACATTTATATGCATATACTAAAAAAATAAAAACAGGATCTTGGTCTCCATTTCCCTGTGCAATGTTGTTTTACCTCTTTGCCCCAAGGCTATTATACCATTCAACTCAAATAAAGCCATGTCCCAAAATTTTGGGATTGTTATAGTTACTTTATAAATAATTTGGATTAGCTACACGAATCCTATTTTGTTATCTACAGCATTGCAATCATATACAATTACATAATATTTGCAACTCCGCACCTCTTTCAGAATAATTATCATGTCTTACATTCTTAAGGCCATTTCTTATGATGATAATAGTGGTATTGATATATTTATTTTAACATTTTCATCCTATAAATTGTTCAATAATGCCAATCATGTCCTACACAACAATCTATTTTCACCCTTTTCATACTTTGTTCTATATTTAATATTTTTTCTACTTTGTGTTATACGCTCAATGCTAACTTAAAATTTTTATAACACTTCCTAGATGCATACATCTATATATATAATATAATTCCCTAACTTACTCTAATACACCAATCATGTCTTGCATCCGGAGACTATTATAAAATTACAATACTATATATATATAGACACACACACACAGTCCCAGAGAAATATTGATGAACCAGTTTTGTGGGCAATTTGTGATTTTCAGTAATATGTACTCGTGGAGCCAGCGCAAGATTTCCTATGACATCAGGAACACCTGAAAAAGGATAGAAGTAGAAAAAGGACAAGATGACCCAGATTTTTGGACAATTGCTGATTTTCAGCAATAATTCTGATTTCTAGCATTTTATTATTATTTTTAGCAACATTTCTAATTTATTTTGAATTTATATTTGGTAATACAGCCAATCATGACTGAGATTGAGTAGAAAACCGCTATATAATCTTGTTTTACAAGGTATTGGGCATTATTAATTTTTTTATAAGTAAAATATCACTAAAAAGCACTCAAAAGGGTGCATGCCTAAGAAGAACTTCACAAGAGGCCAACAAAAGACCTACTATACTCTCAAACTATCCACAGAATCTACAAAGTCGTCAACAGAATTACAATACCTGTTTTTTACTGAAAAAAAACCAAGAACTCAAAATGGAGTGTTTTAACACTTCAATACGAACTTCCTGTCCATCAAAGGACATGCTATTCCTCTTACTGCTTGGGTGAATCAAACCCCTTGTGGAAGGTGCATCCTGTTTGCTTCAAGCATGCCCTTTGTGAAATCCAGTGTAACTAATGAACACAAAGAAAAGTGAAAAACAAGGCCCATAATCCCTAGCCACTTGACATTCAAAAGGAGATAGTTCACTGACTCCTCATCCCTTTCGCAAATGCAACACCAATTTTACTACAATGTGACACCTCTTCCTCAAATTATCAATAGTCAAAATCCTATCCTAAACTACCAACTGATACAATTCAAGGAATTTCAAATAAAATATAATACAAGTGGTACACTATATTACCTTCACAGCAGCTACGTCCAAAAATCACTATAGGAAAGGTCAACAAGTCGTTTATTACAATCACAGGAAGACCTTATTTATAGAGTACATAATCCCTAGAACAGTCCTTTTACGACTTCTATTCTTGTTACGCCCACCCAAAAAAAAAACCACTGTGATGATAACTCAAGTGCAGAGAAGCCAACTTACTACAGGTGTGTAGTTATCTATTTTGCTGATATTTAGGTGTATAGTTGCAACACTGAAGACTGCTTAACACATCTCCGTTCAATTTGATATATCAAAGAGAGAATGTTTATATGCTCACTTGAAGAAGTGAAGTTTTGTAGCACACAGATTGGTACTTTTGGGTCATGTAGTCTCTTCTACGGGTATCATGATGGTTGTGGACAAGATGAAGCCAATTCTTAAGTGGCTTACACATAATGCGTGACATGCAAAGCTTTCACTGTTTAGCAACTTTTTATAGGCAATTTATTCCTAATTATACCACTATTTGAACTCCACCTACTGATTGCATGAATAAGGTCATTTTGACTACACCCAAGAGGCGGAAAAAGTTTCAAATAATGAATAAGAAATTAACAAAAGCACCGATTCTTGCTCCACGTAATTTTGAAGAGGTATTTGAGGTAGATTGCAATGCTTTAGGTATTGGCGTTGGTGTAGTTCTTAGTCAACAAGGAAGACCTATTGCATACTTCACTAAGAGAGTTAGTGATGGAAAGCTACAACCTATGATGTAAAGTTTTTGCCATTGTCCAATACTTCCGACATTGGTGACACTACCGTACTTATAAGGAATTCATATTGCATTCAGATAATAAAGTACTGGGTACCTCAATAGCCAACATAAAATGAGTAACTTGCAACAATTCACTTTTAAGCTAGTACAATCAATCATGTAGCTGATGCATTGAGTAGATGATCTTCTTTGCTTATTGATATGTGTTTAGCGGTCAGAATGATTGGTCTATGCAAGGTGATTAAAAAGATTAATGATTGATTCACTTATTCACACATCGGATGTTATTTAAGCCAATCACTTGAGGTGTTCCAGAGCAGTGCAAGTATGGAAAATCTCCTCACTGAGAATTGGGGATCTAAGCGTGGCCAATGGTCAATGGGACAGGTGGTTGAGGACACGGATGGATCAATGGGATAATAACACAAATAGTTGAATTTTGAAAGATATGACTGCATCCATGTGCTGGCCGTTATGGAAAGCTAGAAATGAATGGGTCTTTCAGAAGCATTGGTGGAATGCAAAAGTTATAGCGTACAATGCTGAACTTCAGTTTTGGGAGTTTGTTGAAGCCTCCTTGACATCTCCATCTCAATCAGTTCAATGGGTTTCTTTCTCTGATTCTCAATGTAGTAGGTTGGGTTGGAGACCTCCCCCAATATATTTTTTTCAGGTTAATGCACCTTTTCATGCCCCTTCTCGAGAAGTTGGAGGTCGTATGGTGATTCGAGATGATATGGGAACTGTTATCCACGGAGCCAAATTCTTTTTTACATTGGCTATAGACCCTACCACAGATGAAGCCATGGTTCTGCGAAAGTCAAAGCTTACTGTCTTGGAAAGGGAATTTGATAAGGTTATTTTTGAGGGAGATGCGGAGGTGGTAATCAAATAAGTGAATGATCAATAGCAGAATGTTCGAAGGGAAAGAGTCGCCTACGGCAATGGTCAAACTTTACATTCTTCGTTCTCTTTTCAATTATGTGAATGGGAGCTTTTGTTCTTCTTCTGACGATTTAATTACTTTCTTGGATTCTTTGGGGCCTTAGTCCCGGTTCCACTTTTGTAATTGGGACGCGTTTCCCTTTTGAACGCCTTTTTTATGTTATTTTTACTTATCAAAAAAAAAAAAAAATAAGTGAATGATCAAGTTGTGTCTCCAGTGATGGTGAAAGCTATTGTTGAAGATATTCAGGAATGGTAGTCAGCAACTCGTAATTTCTTGGTTGTCTCTGTGTCTGTGCATTGAGAGGCTACTGGTGTGTATACACACCATTTAGCAGGTGGGCTCTTAGGAGTAAATTGGCGAAGTTATTCTAGCTAAAGATCCTAGTGTATATTCAAAATAATATCGCTGTAGATCTGTTCTATCTGTTCCATAGTTGGTAATGTTCTTTGCACTATGTCCCTGAATCATTAATCAAATTTCTTGCCTTTTAGTATTCAAAAGAAATAGTAAATCATTTAATTCCATACAACTCATTCTTCTAAAGATGATTTCAACAACTTCGGGGAGAGTGATGCAGCTATGGAACTAGGTGAAGATTTCCTATAAATATTGGGAGCACCCGAAATAGGAAAGAAATAGGGGAAGGAAAACACAGACCAGATTTTCGGGCAATTGCTGCCCTTTTAGCAATTTTGTAATTACTTTAAGCAACTTTTCTATTTTCAATTGAATTTATGTTTGGTAGTACAGCCAACCATATAATCTTGTATTGCTAGGGTTTGAGGCACTATTGTTACTATAGTTCAAACTATGCTGCAGCACGGTAACGACTGGCGATTTGGCATCAAATATTCTATCACAGTTGTGTCTTTTAGAAACAATTTGATCAAATATTCTATCGTATATTTGAGAAACAATTGTGTCACTACCTTTCTGTGCAGTGCAAATATCATTTCTCCATATATTTATATAATTAAGTCTTTACCGGGAAAATGGTCGCATATTCCACTAAAACAAACATAGCTTAAAGGGAACGCATATCATGAGCAGACAAACCCCAAAGTACCTCAAGATCGACGTTTGCAGTCTGAGCGACGTGTTGCATGATCGAGTGAACTAGCTTGCTTTTACTATACCTTTCCTCACACGCCTGAATATCCCCTTCCGAGAGCCTCCTCTTGCTGAGATCGATGTACCCTTTTTCCGGATTGACCCGAAGAACCATTGCTGGCTCGATTCGACCAACCTTGATCAAGCTTCCGACGCTCCGTACCCGCCGCCGAGAGAGATCCGATAAGAGGATCATTCCCTCGATGTTGTTGTATTCAAGGAGAGAGACATACGTGCACACGTCGCCGATGTTGTTGACCCGAATCATCACCGGCGTGTCCACCTCCGGGAGCTTAGCTTCGTACATTCGACACTCTAAATTGGGTGCCTTCGTCGCCATAGCCAACTACTGTGGTTCTAGGGTTTTTCTTTTTTTTCCTTTGGGGGGTGACGGGAGGTTTTGAAATATGAAGGCGATGAGAGGGAAGAGTGAAGGGAGAGAGCTGGAGGGAGGATTTTGTGGGAAAATGAGAAGATGACAAGGTTGGAGACAGATGGAAGAGTGATTAAGAAAGGAAAGGAGTTTGATTAGACATAAGTATGGGCAATTTTGTCACTTAAGCCTCTGTTTTTTATTGGATGAAAATTAAAGGGATGAAAATTATATAATTTTTTTTTTTTTTTTAGGTTAACCTGAGGTGTTCGTGATGGCATGAACCCTTAGGGCCCCTCAACAACCCGATTAATTCCCGTTGATTCGGAAGGGCACCTCCTCACCCGGATCGAATAAGTCACTGCAGGAGTAGCGGAGACTAACCACAAAGAACACTCAGTTGGACTCGAACCCCAAACCTTGGGCTTAATAAACTCCAAAGTCCAGCGAGTAAACCATTGTGCCATATCAGTGAGCGTGAGGGAAATCAGTGGATCAGTCCACTTTTTATCAATTATACTATATTTACCTTTTTTTTTTCTTCTTTTAAAGGAAATGACAAGAACTCCATTCAATTCATTAATACAATATTCCTTATTTCATAATAACATAACTACCCTTTTATACAACTTTAACTTTTTTTTTTTTTTTTTACCTTCTTTAGTTCATTAAATATTTTTTTTGATAATTTTTTTATTTTTTTTTTAGTTAACCCGGAGTGTCTGGGATGGCACGAACCCTTAGGCCCCCTCAACAACCCGACTAATCTCCGAGAACCCGGAAGGGCACCTCCCCACCTCAACCGGGTAAGTCACTGTAGGGCAGCGGAGGCTAGCCATAAAGAACACTCAGCGGGACTCGAACCCCAAACCTTGGGCTTATTAAGCTCCAAAATCCAGTGAGTAAATTGTTGGGTCATATCCAAAGTGGATGTTAAAAGGGATAATTTATTCAATAATAACTTCTTCTTTTTTTGTGCAATCAAAACAAATTATTTATTCAACAAAGTTAATTTCTTTTTTCAGTCTTGTGGAAAGAGGCAACTATTTTTGGGTGATATTTTAAGGGTCCCGTCAAAAGAAATAATTTATTCAATAAATATTTTTTTTTGGGACTTATCGAAAGAGATATTTATTCAATAGAGATATATATTTTTTGAATCTTCTTTTTTTGTACTTTTTTTGTTTTGATCTTGACAAAAGAGATAATTTCTTTAATAAATTAGTTTTTTTGGGTTTTTTTTCTGTCAAAAGAGATAATTTTTTACAATGGTTACATTTTTTTTTTTTTTTTGGTACGGTCAAAAAAGGCAATTTATTCAACATTTTTTTTTTTTTTTTCTGTTCCTGTAAACAAAGTGTTATTCAACTTTTTTTCTTTTCCTTTTTTTTATTCAAAAGAGACTTAAAATATTAAAGATTAGATAATTGTAAGAGATCTTACAGTTGTGTCATTTAAAATATAAATCATTTATTTGTAAAGTTAAGGTTAGAATTGTCATTTAATTTAAGAGTGTAGTGCAAATAGAGAAAAGTGGAGTACGAATATCGCCTCCCTTTTTTATTGTGTATTTAATTAACATGAAAAAAAATTCCAAAAATTAACATTTTATAATTTGAATAGCATGAAACTTATTACAAAGGAAAGGAGATTATGATAACTTCATAAAATTTTCTCAATAAATCAAATATATATATATTGTGTTTGTTTTTAGGAAAAAAAATTATGAAAAAATTAAGTAGTTATGAAAAGTAATTTTTCATCAAAAAAATTATTTTCCTGCTAACCAAACTTCTAATGTGTTCGGAAATTTTCTATTTTCTTGATATTTTCATCTAACCAAACAGAATGATTTTTTTGCAGATGAGGGAAGGGGTAGAAGTGTTAATACCATAACCTTAGTATGGGCAATTTTGTCACTTAAACCTCTGTTTGGTTAAATGAAAATTAATAATGAAAATGAAAAGTGAAATTAAATAAAATTGAAATGGATGAAAAGAAAATAATTTTTTTATCATATATTTAATTAATATGAAAAAATTTCAAAAAATAAATGACATTTTATAATTTGAATTGTATGAAACTTATTACTTTTCATAAAACTTTCTCAATAAATCAAAAAAAAAAAATTGTGTTTTGTTTTAGAAAAAAATTATGAAAAAATTAGGTGGTTATGAAAAGTAATTTTCCATCAAAAAACTTTTTTTCCTACTAACCAAACTTCTTAAGTGTTCAGAAATTTTTTATTTTCTTAATATTTCCATCTAACAAAACGGAGTGATTTTATGCAGATGAGGGATAAGGGGCAGAAGTGCTACTACCATAACCTTAGAGTCAATTTGGTATAATGAAATGTTGGAAGGGAAAGAAAGAAAATAGAAGGGACGGCTAGTATGTTTAAGAAACTTTATGAATATCAAATTTGTCATTATTTTTATAAAAGACAAAATCTTTGAAAAAATGTATGGTTATAAATTCATTAAAATAGTTTCCTTTTAATTCATGGATAGTGACACGGTCTCATCACAACCGTCAAATTAGGAGTGTGGTTTAAGAAGCCTTTTCGGTCAAATTTAAATTTATAAAATCACTACTACTATTACTAATAATGTAGCATAGAGAGTAGGGATCGTCCTAAGAGACCGCAAGCGTATTCGGAATTAAATTCGGATTAATAGGTCGAATGATCAAGAGAGGGGTTTGCTTGGTTTAATTAAACTACTATTGATTTGAAAGCATGCAATGTAAAAAACAAGCTAAAATTGATTAAGGTGAGAGAATATGAGAGAGATCTTAGGGTATTGGAATCACCGCTAAGCTCTTCTTCTAAACCACTACTCTTTGACAATTTTGGGGAAATTCAATGTTGTAAACCAAGTGTGTAACGACCCACTCCACCACATGGTATGATATTGTCCGCTTTGGGACTGAGCCCGCACAGTTTTGCTCTTGGGCTTTATCCCAAAAGGCTTCATGCCAATTGGAGTGACACACCTACATATAAGCACTTCACCTTTCCCTTTTCCCAGGCGATGTGAGATTGTGCACCCGTAACTCACCAGTGTGATAGCCTATCAGTGTCTCGCACCCGCCCACGGCACACCCACCCACAGGGTCATCACAATCCACCCCCCTTGGAGGCCCGACGTCCCCATCGGCACACTTCCGGCTGGGTCAGGCTCTGATACCATTTGTAACAACCCACTCCACCACATACTATGATATTGTCCGCTTTGGGCTGAGCCCACACGGTTTTGCTCTTGGGCTTTACCCCAAAAGGTCTCATACCAATTGGAATGACACACATACATATAAGCACTTCACCTTTCCCTTTCCTAGGCGATGTGGGATTGTGCACCCGTAGCTCGCCAGTGTGGTAGCCTGTCAGTATCTCGAACCCGCCCACGGCACACCCACCTACAGGGTCATCACAAAGTGTGTGCTAACAATTGAAACAATGAGCATGGATGACTAAACAAGTGTGAGTTGTCAACTTAGACTAGTGTGTAGCACAACCCATCAAGTAAAGACATTAACCATTCAATAAACCCACAATTGTAGCACACATCAATGTAGAGAAATGTACATCTTGTGACAATAAGTATGGATCATCAAATTCAATCATGGATTGTCTACCTATCTTGGAATTTAAATGCAATTACACTACAATTATACTAATGACAAAGAAATTAGGCTAATTAACTAAGGTTGTAGAACAATCCATCAAGCACAAGCATAACCCATCAAATCAATCACAAGTGTAACCAATAAGCACTATGCATGACCATTACTAGATTCACAATTCAAACACACGTAGATATGCATCAAATTTATTGAATCTAATGTAGAGACATAACCATCCATTTTATCACACATAGACATGTATACAAATTGGAAGATTAATTAGAAGAATTGAATCATGCAAATTACAAGATTTATTAAATCACAATGTCAATACATTATTTACAACAAAAGTCCGCAAATAGGTCAATAACTAGAGTTTAGAAGGCAAGCCTAGGGGTTCTTCCAAGCCCCAAGAGGAGGATCTAGCCACTCATGGATGTTGTCTTACAACCCTCAAGGGCTATCTTCATGGTTGATTTCATCTTCTTACTCCTTTCTTGCCTCTTCTCTTGCTCAAAAACCCTAATCTATAGAGAGAGAAACTATGTCTAGCTATGTAAAATGTCACAAAAGTTAGAAAAAAACTTCAAACCCCATATAATTGGTTCAATTTGATTTAAATACAAGCCCCTCTGTGTAGTGAACAAGTCAGAAAATAGCCTTTTCATTGGTCTAATCCCGTAGCCAAAAGTTAGGTCGAATTCGGGCTCGCTCGAGAATTAAACAGCTTACTGCCAACAAGATTTTGATCGATCGTCAGGGTCTTCAATGGATTGTTAAGTACTTCGATCGATCGTGAATGATGTGGCATGCTTATCTTAACAACTGGCAACTTTATCTGCTTAGCTGGCGCTAACGTGGCACTACGATCGATTGCCAAAAGTTTTGATCGATTGCCAATTTGGTCGAATGATGAGGTGGCAGTCTTATCCCTTTGCTGACGTGGCTTTAAAGGATCGCTAACCTTCGATCGATCGTGGATTAATCTTCAATTGATCGAGACTGCTCCAAGACAAATTTTAAGACTTTTTCCAGATTTTCTTCTTTATTCCAAAAAGGGCTTAATAGGCTGTTTTTAGCCCGTTTGAACCTTATTGACCTGAAATAGACAAAAATAAGAATTAGAACTAAAACGAGAAAGTAAGATAGATGAATGAATTAAAATACCCTACCTTAGGTGCTAAAATGTGCAATATTTGAGCACTTATCATACCCCCAAACTTAGATATTGCTAGTCCCTAGCAATGAACTATGGAAAGAAAACAAATAAATGAACAACTATTGCAATGACCTGGTCATTTTCCTTCCTTTCCTTTTTCTCCATTTTTACGGATTAATTTTTTTCGTTGAAATTTCCTTTCGCGTAACCTCACTCTTCGTGGTCGGAGTTGATTTTTGACTTCACGTGCTTTCATTCTTATTGGTTTCCTTGAAATGAGTAGCTTTACTTTTGGAGAAAAGCTTGCCGGTTGTTTCTTTTTCCCGTAGGGGCGT